TTATTCAACCGCCACTTTTTTTTTTTTGCAGGACCAATAACTATTCTCAACAGACATGGCTATTATTTTACTGATTTCATAATGTTCCAATCAAAAGTAAGGTTCACACATCAAAGTAAATCGATAGATAGTAAATCAGGAAAATTACTTCCTACATATTCTTGATATAGTTTTGGTAGGGCCACGTGTCTAAGCGTATATTTCCACATGTGTACAAAATAAGGAAGAATAATTTGTCTCCAGCAAAGCATTTGCAAATCTAGTGCATTGAATGGTGCTCTATTACACGGTGCTCCTGGTCGACACAAAGACACTGGCAAGGATATGGTGTCATCATCCTGCTTGAAAAGAAGGACACTATTGATATACCATGCCCATGGCCATCCTCGTACATTCTGTTCTCGATGTGACGTTCTCATACATTCCGTGAAGATCCCCATCAAAAACATTATGTTCCGGGTATCTCTCGCCATCGGACACTTCTATTCGATGTACCGTCATGTACCATTGATGAGTCCATACATGACGTAAAAACTCGATGATTGATGGGACTCGAAGTATCTTGTCCTGTATCTTCGTATGTAGACCACAATCCCTTGGTGCCCAAGTATTCACCAAATGGAGCAACAAAGATAGCGTGTCCCCATTATAACATTTTAATGCACCATACCAGAAAAAGTTACGTACATGAAAACTCAAGCATAGCTCACAACTTGCATAGTGCAAAACCTCATTCCGCTCTGCGTCTTGTGCACGACGCGCAGATTGTCTTCTGCATTTCCTATGCTTGTTCATGGTTCCTGTAAAACATTCGTTTATCAAGCTTTACAACTGTCTTCCGAGCAGTTCTCTTATTCACCTTCAAACAAATCTTAGTTAATATTACTAGAAGAAAAAATAAACATACATAGAAAAGAATTTCTTTAAACCAATGAAAAGGATTCCATCTCATTATACACATAAAATCTGCATGGACTAACCTCCTGAAAAATCCCATCACAGAACAGTCATAAGTATACTTAAAGTCACGTGGTATTAAATATCCTGAGTCTACCAATACCTTAATCTTATGTGTTTCACCCTGAAACTGCTGTATCATCTTTGTGGTTTGGTTATGAACAGCCTCTATGATTTTACCATGTTCTGCAAAATGTTTGTTCAAGGTTTCCACTGCTTTCTTTGCTTCCTCATATAGCTGAGATTCCGGAGGAGGTGATACAAATACGTGTAGGCCAAATGTGTGATTGGAAATAAAAATGACATCTGACAAAAGTCTGTTGGTGTAATCTGGGTCTGTGGAGTTAATTCGTCAGAATGGATGTTGCTTACGAGTTGCGTTCATGTGTTCAATCATCATAGTGTTATAATGTATATGGCATCCTGCTTTCAACGGTAGAGTTTCATTATAAGTTATGTTTTGCCATCTTCTCACCTAATATAGTCCATGGGATGACATGTCAGCAATCTGTAGTTACCTAGGTCCATCAAGGTGCTTTGCGGCATAGAGATTGTTATGTACGATGTTAAGGGTTCGTCTGATACTAAGTTAAAAGCAATCATCGTTGATTTACCCAAACTGTAGGTTGCATCTGCAGGAACATAGAATGACGTATCATTCCATGTTAGCCAATAAAAAGTTTCGTATGGTAATATCCATACATCTCCAACTTTACGTGGTACTGGTTTTGTTGGATATCCAATAACCGCTGATGTTGTAGGTATCTGCCATAGATGAATCACACAATCTCCCATATCGCAATGCGAGTCTTGTGTGGGGTCTAACACTGTGAAAGAAGTCGCTGTTTCCATACCTATACCTGTTTGGAACAACACTCGTAAATCCTCTAACGATGCCTCCATTATTATAGCATTGCTCCAATATGAGCACATTCTTGGTTTGCTTCTAGATGTTTCAACCTTGACTCAAATACTTCATTCGTCGTCTGCACCACTGTATTGAGGATATCAATTTGTTTCTTTAGCATCGCTTGTTCTATATTAATTCTATCAATCAGTATTGATGCAGAGTGTAAATTCTTCGATATACCTGCAATCACTGATGCTTGTTTACCCTGTAAACTTTTTAATGCATTAATTTCAACTCTGAGTTCTTCCGTCATTGCACCTGCGATCAACGCTCCAAGAGCGGCTCCAGCGATGAAAGCACCTACCGCCGCTAGCTGTAATGGACGTCGTCCTGCGGCATTTCGTGCTATGCTGTAAAATAAATCTGGCAGCACATATTGCCATTTCTCTGAGCCACATACTTCAGTATCCCTGAATGCTTGTCCAAGTGAGAGCCGTAGTCTCACTGGTTGGATCGCAGGGTGCACCAGGAATCTCAGTGGTTGTTTTAGAAGTGGCAGATATGCTGGGGCTTCAGTGGTCGTCATTTTTCCTTTTGGCGGAAACAGGACACTTCTAGGGTAGTGGGCTGTCACCCACCCCCTGGTTTCATTGAATCCAACTCTGTATATTAAACATGGTTTGAGCGATTCGGGTGTCACTCTGCAGTCTTTCATTGTCATCTTATAGGCATATATCTTATGAGTTCCTGCATAACTGTCGTAAATGTCCGTTGTATTCTGTAAGACATCATGAGACACAATGTCATACATCCACCAGGAATTGTCGTTTTCCAATGCTGGCAGTAGCATATACCAATAGTATGGCAGTTTTCCTGTATGTATTACGTTTTTCCATTTGGAAAAGTCCATGCCTGCTGTTATCCACCATCGCAAGGTCTTGTTGTCTGCAGCTTCTACGTGATACCGGATCTTAGTGTCCCATAATTGCGTACTTGGACATCCATCTTCTGGTTCCACATCATCATCCATCACAGTCTTCTTTGTTAATAACGTTACTTCATCTATTTTTGGATATTTGTATGTTAACGCTGTTGCCCTTGGTTTCAATGTATGTCTCACAGTAGATTCCCAATATGTCGTTATATGGGAAGCATTTACTGCATCCATTGGGATGTCATATACTGACACATTATCTTCAATGGATCTGTGAACTCCATGTATTATGTCGATATTAGATGGGAACCATCTGCAGTTGGATCTTTCTAATGCTACAGGTACTCCTTGCATATCGTTGTAGATTCTCTTCTTGCCCATCATAGGTATACTGATGTTATGTAGGGCGTCTCTAATTATTGAGTTGGATATGTTAAACACAGGTATTAAAGATGACATAAAGTGATCATAAAATTTATAGGATAAATCTGAATATGGTTTTCCTTTTTCTGCCAATGCTGATCCGTTGAATGAATAGTCTACTTGTAGGAATGACACGTTCCATTTTAATCCTTTCAGTATGTCTGTTGGTGTAATTACTAAAACTGGTTGCCATGGTGAGTCGAACGCTTCATGTGTTTTATTTCTTATTAGATGTATATGTGTTGCATTAAGTAGAACAGTATGATCTTCCTCCGGTATGCAGTTCTCCCTTGAAAAATTGTAACACCATGTCTAGTTCCACATGGGATTTTGTGTTCTGTTAAGGATTCTATTATCAGTCCAGAACGATTGATTGAAGGTCACAAACTGAATGCTACTCACGTTGGTATGTCGTTCATGGCATACACCTTCATTTATTTCCGTTGTATCCCGTTCCTTTACTGTATTCTTAAACGCATATTGTCTGGTTTTGTTATGATATAAGATCCATCCTTCGTGATGGAACATGGGAAAAAGTGGCGTCTGCCACGTAGGATCTAGTCTGGAAGGATGCAGGAACATACATGGTACCATTTGAGGATAGGACATTGTATCTAACACCTGTCCTGATACCTTATACCAATACCTGTATTTGCAAAACTTTATCAGTCCCAGGTCATACGGAAAACATACGCGTCCTATGAATGCAACACCTGCTGACCTATTTTGCATTTCTCCAAAAATACTGCGAACACACACATACCCTATATTTTTAAGCTTACTTGGTGGCGTATACGCCCATCATGCCATATTATGCGTAAACGGCTGTGGAATCGGGTCAGTCAATAACACTGGTGATCTCCATGTTTCTGTTCCTAGAGTCAGCACTTTCCACCAATCTTCCACTGGCATGAAAGATATGTTGGAAATATGTACGTCTGAGCGGTATGTAGACAGGATGTCAAATGCACCAAATATCGGAAGGTTTGGAAAGTCCGCAACTCATGTTACGAAATCTGTGTATCCCAAGGTTTTATTTTGCAAGTCATCTAACCAGATTGTCATCTTATGACCTTCAGAACTCATCAAGTCCAAATAGTCCTGTAATTCCTTTGGACAATAGGCCCCATACGGTTTCTTGAGAGCTTCTGGCCATCTTGCGACTGGTCTTGCTCCCTGCAAATGTTGTGGAAAACCATACCATTTGTTAAGCACTTCTTGGGACTCATTGTAGGGTAGGAGGTCTATTCCCATAGTTGTCGTCTTGATAGTCGTTGTTGTGTCATCATTAGTTGCATTGTCATCACTACGGGTGGCGTTCCCGTTGTCTTCTATCTCGTAAGAGTCGAAAGGGGAGTGAGAGGGTTCATCCTCTTTGTAGTCATAATCAAATGCATGATAATCATTCTGCTGGTTACTTGCCCATGCTTGGAACGGTAATGCGGGTATGCTGATATCTGTAGCTTTTTTGCAAGTAAAGAGATCACTGTCATCATCTGGTTCCAAGACATAAATTTCTTCTGCAGGTCTATTCAGCAAAGCCGCTGTAGCATTGTATTGTGTTACCCACATACTCGTCTTCATTTTCCGGAAATGATACACAAAATGTGGTTTTTGTGCCCATTGATCCAGAATGGCTTCCATCAGATGACATCGCAACGGGTTAGTTTCGTACGCATTTGTGTATCCACCTTCTGACACAGTCCTGAATAAAGGTGAATATATACCCATTGTATTCCATTCGTAAAATGATGCACAAGATGTCGGCGCATAATGCCTGTTAAAGTGTGTGCAAAATGCATATTTGTGATAGTATAAGTATTGAATCGCTGTTAGATTCTGCAAAAACTTCCTTGATCTCCAGTGTTGTGGTATTACAGTGCCATTGTTTACCTCTTTCATAGATTGTGGAAACTGTAGGTACTCTTCGACCCATCGCTTATATGACCATTGACTTTTTGACAGACTCTGTGACTCAATCCACTTCCATGCAGCAGTTGTAGTGGTAGTAGTGGTGGTAGTGGTGGAAGTAGTGCCAGTACCAGCACCACCACTGCTGCTAGCACCACCACCAGTGCTAGTGGTGCTGTCTGTCGTTACACAAATAATAGCAAAATACAATGTCCAGCGTCAAAACAGCATAGTTATTATCTCAAAGTGTCTACCAAAAACACACTGTATAATTAAGCATAATACATCTCATAACGTTTTTCATTTTTTCCTCTCCTATGGATCCTACACATGTGTCGTTTTTATGTTTTTGCCACTCATTACAATGAAAGTAGCCAGATAACAAGGTACAACTATACACAACAACAATTATGAACAGCACAATGCTCCAAATCTGTCGACATGCATTATCGCGTACAGACATCTTTATCCTTAGTTAGCCTAAGGTCTCCTTTCCTAGTTGATATCCAAAACGTGTTTCCTTGCCCATCGGCAACGATTTCACCCTTAGTTACCTTTGTACTGTTCCTATCTTTGATCCAGACTTTGGATGCACGATTCAACGGTTTCTCCTCGTCCTCCTCCTGATACTTGATAACTCTGTTGAACACTTCCTCAAAAGGGGAACGCCTATGCAGCCTCTGCCTGCAATTAAGTTCAAAGACTGCAATTAGCAGGGCCTTCTCAAAAGGCATCGTGTCCATTAACATATGTAATTTCGTTTTCAGTAATCCATTGAATCTTTCCACTGCACCTGCCGCAGTGGGGTTATAGGCCAAATGGAAATCCCATGAAATTTGCAATATATCTGCCAATTTTTGAACACGTGCTCCAGTAAAGTGAGTTCCCTGATCTGAGGCTATGTTCCATGGACATCCATATCGAGCACACCACGTCCAAACACAATTTATGGTGGACGTTTGGTTTGCTTTTGTACATCCGTAAGCCATTCCAAGGCTTGTGCTGCAATCCACCATATTACATACATATTTTCCATTTCTCAATGGCCCAATATAATCAATCTGCACCAATTGGTTAAATCCTGCTGGGGCCGTTCTTGTGCTTGGTGGGTTGCGTCTGAATCTGGTCCCACTGGCCGCACATTTTTCGCAGCCAGCAATCGCTTGCTTACATTTACTCCAGGTCGCCTTAATGTTTCTAGAGTCGAACCATTGGTACAGACCATGTGTTCCAATGTGTCCAAGATTCGCATGAATTTGTCTGATTTCATCCAATGTGATATCAGATTCCATTGGGGGTTTAACTACATGCCAATTAGGTCTACGTTTTAAAGTTAGCTTTGTATCAGAGGCTTTATCTACCTCCCATTGGTTTGGATTTCTCAACTTAATAGCAGTTAATTGTACTGGAATTTTGCTCAATTTATCCGCGATATCATTATTCTTAGAAACATCATCCTGGCGTCCTGTATGGGCATCCACATGAGTAATCAGGATTTGGATTGGAGCTTCCGCCAACCATTTCCATGTATCTTTTCCCCATACATCTTTACCATTTATCGTAAAATCAGTTAATTTCCACTTTGCTGACCAAACTGTGATACCATTACACACCGCCCATGAATCTGAAAATATATGTACATATTTTATTCCCTCCTTTATGGATTCTTCCACCACAAGGTGGACTGCTAAAAGTTCAGCCAACTGGGCAGAATCATCTGAACCTTCTTTAGATAGAATTTTACCATCACGGGGCCTAAACGCAACTGCTTTCCATTTTGTTTTCTTTCCTATCACTGCACTGGAGCCATCCATAAACCATGCATTAGCATGTGTCTCGGATGCTCCCCATTTTCCAATAGGTGCTACTTTAGGTTCCACTATCGCTACCGGGACAGGTATCATAGGCTGGGCGTTCACGCTTTCAGTTAATTTCGTAATTCTTGAACTCCCCATCATTGATGTATCCTGAGCTAGGTTATTTATATACCATTTCCATTGCATTACCTTCCCTT